GGGGGGGGGGGGGAGGGGGGGAGAAATAAACGCTTCGCGTTATTCGCCGAGATTGCCACCGATAAAACCGAATACCTTCAACAGTGATGTGTGTCTCGCGCGTTTGTTCGCGATATTTCTTCGCGACGATAAAAGGGCACGGTCATCCGTTTGAGCCCACGGTCGTGAGAGCCGTCTCTCTCTCTCTCTCTCCCTCTCTCTCTCTCTCTTCGCGGGATAGAGGAGGCGAAAAACGGGCTGGAGGAATTTGGTCGCGCTCGACGAATTTCACAGTGGGCACGCGCGATTCGCCGCCTCGCCCGCGATCTACTTTGTACCTTTGTAAATATGTATTTTTAGTTCGGCGAGGCGATGCGAGCGCGGCTAAAATAAACGCGCGTGCGGGCGGTTCTACGCAGAAACAAATAGTTAACGTTTTCCCGTCGCATGTACCAGTAGTGTAGTACATATGTATGTTCTTATCAAGCGCTGATGATACGCCGGTACATGTTCGTGCGGACGGACAGTCGTTCAGTATGTATCTGCGTCGGAAAGAAAAATGTAGAATGAGGAATCCGCGCGGAGGAGGATATTTATTAACGACGCGGCCGCTATGGTCGCGTCTAGTACTACACGACGTCGAAAACGATGTCACTGCGAGACAAACAACAGCACAGTCCCGACAGTTAGCTCTCCGATTCCGCGAGGTTCGCGAAATTTCTCGGAATCCCTCGGCACGTCGCGTCGCTGAATCGCGACTTCTTTCGATTTCAGCTCCTGGTGAGCGGCGGACAGCCGACTACGGCGACGTCGCCGGCGATGTCGTCAGGGGGTGCGCTGAGTCCGGGCGCCCTTTCGCCCTCGTCGACGGCGACTACGACGACGGGGGTGGGACCGGCGGGTACAGGTGGCGCCACGACCCCCGTCGGTGGTACTACCGGGCCCGGTTGTTGCGAAAACGGCAGGCCCATGATGACGGACCCAGTGACGGGGCAAACGGTGTGCAGCTGCCAGTACGACAGCGCGGCGAGATTAGCGCTGGGTGCGTATCCCAGGCTAGCGCCCACCGCGACCTCCTACTCCTCCTACCCCACGCCGACGCCCTCAACCACCGACCAGGGGCCTTACCCCAGCATCGGCATGGACAGCTCCGCGTTCTACTCCCCATTGGTAAGTTCTACCTCTCTATCTATTATCAAATATGTTTGGTGTCGCAACCATCATATTCTATCAGTCTAGAAAATGTTGTGGGATCTAAGTTGTGGAATACAAGTCAGTGACTGGATGATCCAGTGGAATAATCTATTTTGGGACATATTTAAAGTACAAAAAGAAAAGTCCACGTTTGGGTTCTGCCAAAATTTTGAGAAATTTCCACGCGGATAATTGTAAGAACCAATATTCCGTGATTCCAGTCTTTCCTAAACGTCTGCAAGGAAACGAAAAGAGAATCTGCCTGTCTGTTTAAAAAAATGGAATGAATTATATATAGTCTTCTAATTTGGCCAATATTACGATGGTGTACCGAGGATTAAAGTGGTTTTAATTTTGGAGGAGTTTCCAAATAGGTTATATGTAGATCTCGTACAAAATGTGCGCCGTCTCGTTGATGGTGATATCTTGTTAACAGTCGAAATTGAAACATTCATTCTCTTACAAATAAGGGATGAGAATATCTCGCGAATGTTCGAATCTACGCTTCACTTGATACCACGGTATCATCGTAAATATATCAAGACCCGAACATGAAACCTATTTCTCCGTGGCCGATAATTCGTCATGCAACATTTGAAGGGAGAAAATTCATGGTTACACGTCACACATTTCCAGCGTTCATTAGCTGAATGCGAAATTGATGATTCTTCCTCTTTCCTCTGTATTTTCCGCTTTTCCTTCGAAATCATCAAAGAGCTCGCGCGAGCACGTTAAAGCGCGTATTTTCTGGTCTCGCGACTCGCAAGGTACGACGACTGCGCCTCGCATCGTGTAAAAGAGGCCGTTGCCGGATGCAGATTGATCGGTTCGTCGTGCTAGGCGTGCCGGCCGATTATTGCGCCTCCAGTATTAACTTAAGACGGATTAGCACGTGGTGTTGCCGCGAATTAGCTCGGAATCCCGGCGACGGAACCCTCTCTCGGACGTCGGGGATCGCGCGGATCCCTCGATCACCCCCTCCACCTGCTCCTCCGCTCGGGAATTCGCGCACGGGTCTCTCTCATATCGCTTCTCTCTCTCTCTCTCTCGCGTCGTTCCTAGGCTGGTACCGGCTGCGCCAAATTATTCACGCGTCTCTTCTTCTCGAGAAACGGCCGATAAGCTCGTTTAAGTTTCGGTTCGTGGAAGGCGCAATGCTCGTTATGTCTCTCTCTCTCTCTCTTTCTCTCTCCCCTCCCCTCTTTTTCTCGAAGGGTTGCCTCGTGACGAATTCGCGCGCATCTGTCACCGGAGAATCCTCCTACGACCGACCGGCCACGTGCGCGCGCTTGTCGCCGGTTCAACGACTGTCGTGGAGATGCAAGAATCCTGGCGAGAAGTTCGCACTCAGTCTTCAGCTTCGCGCGGAATTCGAGCCGCGATTTTATATCGTGTAGTTACGCCGCGTGGTTTCCGTCGGGATTACGTTCACGAAGCTGATGTTACCTCTGTTACCTCCCCAGGCGCCTTTTGAATATGTATGGAGGAGCGGTTACGCAATGGCGCGATTACACATCTCTGTTCATTGTGCACGAATTTTTTGACGGAGCCTGATATGTCGACCGAGAGAAGGACGAACAGACGCATGTAATTAAGCGCGTGCGCGCGCTGATGGGAACGTTCGATGCCTTCCTGGGACGAACGGACGTACGGACAGACGGACGGAAGTGTAGCGGCCAATTAAGTTTGAATTTATCGGGCGATTATACTAATTGGCTGCTTTCGGGTTGTTTTGGGCCTACCGTTGATCTATCCCTCGCACGGCCGACGGTCGAGACGAGAATAGTATTGCGACGGAGAAGAGAGCCGCCGCCGGAAATCTCAAAGAATGTTTTTGTTTGGGTTTCAGTGGACACTCGTTGTTGCACCCTTTTATTGTATGGACGATGATAAGAGGCACTCGCGAAAATCGGGAATTGCGCTCATTTCTTTCCCGTTTCGATCGCTCTCGAAGATTTTCCGCATTCCGCCTCGTCGCACGATTCACCGGGCCTGATTCGCGACATACTCGGGATTATCCCGAGTGAAAGTCGACGAACGACGTCCGCGGTACACGGAGACGTCGTCTCGTTTGTCATACGTAATTAGCCGGTGTAATTTCGCGGTCGCGACTTTTTCAACCGCAGAGCGCAAGCGCGACGATGATCGTTCACCGCGACGAATTAATTAGCGCGGCGAACCGCGTGCGCGTGCAATCCTGCAAAATAATTCGGATTTTGCCGGGCTGCGCGTTGCGAAATTCCGAAAAGAGACGGACGCAGTCGAATCATTTGCACGGAATTTTAACGGAAAATCGCCAACGAGTTTTCGGACGATTCCTCCATGTCATGCGAAGTCGTCGTAACGCGATGACACCGCACTTGGCGTAATTGATCCACAATTTTCTAGGATAAGAGAACGCGCGATCGACGAGCCATGCCGCGACCGTGGCATTGTCTCGTATCAGAGATAACGCGCGCGAACGCGGCTATCTCTACAACACATTTTCATTTTCGCGAGTCGCGTTGTTTGCACGCATTGAAAGTGCCCGCGGCTTTTTGATGTTACCGCGTAATCAGTGCACGCCGGTCCGATAAACGACGATAAACGAGGTGTCCTTATCACGACGACGTGCGCATGCGCGTAAATCGCGATTCGTCTCGTAATTTTATATTCCCTCTTTCTCTTCCTCTCTCCGCCTCATACCCGAGAACTCGCGCGTGCGCAAGTCTGACGAGTGTCCATTTAATTCGTCGGAAGGAAAAAGAATCGTTTCAACGTCGATCGAGAGACGAGGGGAATAATAATTAGAGGAGAAGGTAATATTACAGCCTTTGTAGATATTATGGCCTTAAAATCTCCACTATTGGCTGACGAATTACGGTGATTACTTATGAAATCATTTATTCAGCAGACCGCCGTTATGTAGTGGCGCTAATATGCTGATAACCGGCATTTATTTATTAGAACGCATTTTTATTTTAGAACATTTCGAAACGCTTTTAGTAAAGTACTTTTAGCGTTTAATTATACATTTTTCCTCATTTATCTTAAACCCGAGCGTATTATCACACGAACATATGTATAGTGAAATGTTTTGTTTTGTTTTGTTTTGTTTTGTATTTAACAATTCATTCGGCCGTGCACATTTAGAGTTATGTAAAGTTAAACAACAGTATGGAATTTTGCTAATGTGGCTCTCTAAGAGCGCTGATAATACGACCTATTTTTGAAGTTTTCATTATCAAAGTAGTTATTCGATAAGTCAATTCTAATCTATATAGTTCACCGCTGCACTTTTGTCTGCGCTGCACTGCCGCCCCTCCGACAGGTTGTATCTTCCGACAAGTAAGTCAGTATCTGCATTAAAAATGCACAGTTATATTCATTATTACTCCTTCTACGAGTTTATTTTGAACAGGCATGTAATTTTGCAACAGAACACTGTGTTATTTCAAACAAAATCAACCTTTGAAATCTATTTTAGCCGGGGGCTGCATCACTTTTCCTGTTACTCTTCAACCCACAATGCAGTGTCGCCACATTTTTATAAATAACGCCCAAAGTAATACGTGTTTCGTGACTTTGGGTCTAGAATCGATTGAACACTTCGACGAACGTAATCGTTCGGTTCTCAATTTAACATATCGATTGTTGATGAAATCATTGTTCAAAATGGGGGGCCGTAATACCATCTTTCCCTCTAATAATTTCTGTCGTGCGACACTTTCGGCACTCACGTTGACACGAAAGACGTCCGAACGTCCGATTTGTTACGCTCATATTCTATAAATTAGCACCGGACTGCCGAGAGAGAGAGAGAGTGAGAGTGTGAGAGGAATATATATTGCGGCGATTTACGATCCGGGAGACTTTAAACCGCTGGATGTCGGAGAATGCAAATTTAATACTCAATAAAATTTCCCGTCATTTCACAGTCGGTTTCACGCGCTAATAATATCGCGAGGTTAATACAGTTAATTAAAGTACGTCTCGCAAAGATTACATATACGTTAGCTCTCTCTTCTCTCGCGGACACTTCGCGCGAATCTATCATTAACGGGAACGACTGTTTGTCGCGGACTCGGCAAAAACGGAACATAAGAGATTGTCGATATTAATACTGTCGCGGCTCTCGCGGTTGTCGGTGCTTAATACCTCGGCCGGGCCGGCAATGACAGTTGTCGCATCGTGAAAAACACGCGTCGCTTGAGGTCGGAACGCCGATCGTATAATTAATTACGACGTGTCTGTTATAGATGTACATATCAATCTTTTTACCCGTCAATCGACTGTGCACGAACGCTTTGAAACGTTCCTCATCGTAGATTGCCCGCGAGAAGTCAAGGTTGCGAGAAGTCATCGAAGCGTCTCTCGCGCGCGTACCGCGATTCGCGTAATATGAAATAAGTATGCGCGCAAATGAACGCTTCTGGAGCGGGATCGTCTTCTTCGCGAACGACTCGCCGAGAGACTGTAAGGAGACGAGGGGGAAGCGGAGAATGTTCATCGCTCTCTCGCGTAGAACGCGAACGAGTTTATAGAATCAATACGGGGACGACTGCTGGATGCCGTCGTGAAACAGGGACCAGGGAGTCGCTGCAGCGGCAGTGCGCGAACGCGAGGAGGGATGGGAGTAACGTAACTGCGCGTTCGAATCGCGGGGGAACGAAACCTCTTCTCATCAGCCGGCGGATTTGTCTTTTATTTCACGACGACGGTGCCGCGGCGAGAGGCCGCGACATTTTCCTCGGGAATGCTGCCCGCGCTCGCCCTTCTCGGGGCTTTTTGCGCTCTATCGACTGTGCCCGTCACACCGCGCCGCCGCCGTGATCGGGCTCGGGATTTATCGCGACGGAAGTCTTTATAACGTGCTTTTAACTCACCGGCGGGAGACGCTGCTACAATGCAGCGGCTTTTGGAAAGAAACGGACGATTGAACGAGAGCGGATGACGGGAATCGATCGGCGATTACACCGCCGAGAATCGTTATGAGA